CCCCCACAAAAAAGCATAAAAAATCAATTTCCCCCCCGTTAATCTCAAATCTTTTCACCGAATAAAAAAAAAAGAACACTTAACTTGATCGGGAGGGGTTGTGTGGGGAAGTTTGCCAATTGGGTGATGGTGTGAGCAGCCATAGCTTGTCCGAACTGAAATTGGTCGGAAGAGGAGGGGGGGAGGGGGAAATGGATATTAGATTGGAGATGGAAAAAGAGGAAGGTAGGCGTAAAACAATGGGGGGAAGGATATATACCATAGAGGGCAAAGGGCCCAAGACGGGTAAGATGCGAACACGAAAGTCTGCGAGGGCGGCAAGTTCGCCGACATTTCCCTTCTGAAATTCCTCCTCAGGTAAAGGAAGGAGTCTGACGTTTTCATTAGGCTATTATGCACCATAGGAACAAAGGATGGTTGAGGTATAAACATATATATATATATATATATATCTTCAGTTAGGACAGGGTCGGGGTGGCTGGACTGGAGAGTCTGGAGATACCCACCTTCTCGGTTGAGTAGACCACTGGAACGCCGTGGATAATCCCATTCTGTCTCCTGGCACCACACGTCAATCATTATGGCGATCATTAGTAAGCCGTGTCCATTGATATACATGTGAGCACTGGGCGACTTTGAAAGTTCACTGACAGTCTTCGTCTTACGGAGCGCGCCAATGGATCTTCAAACGTTAAAGATATATCGGCTATCTGAATCCTAGACGGGTCTGCTTTTGAAGCTGCTCCTAATGCCGAGAAGACCTAGGACCCGAAACAAAAAAAAAAACCGTAAGGCGTGTGAATGTGGTAGCTTGGAATATGGCCGAGACTATAAATACACACACACACACCTTCAACTTGTTCTGCTTGCAATATGTCAAGAGATCAACTTTGGTGGTGATGTTATCTATACAGTCCAACACCCAGTCCGGATTGCCCTCTAACAATCTCGGCGCATCCGCCAATGTAAATTGTTCAACGAGAGCCTCGATTTTTAGCCACGGTGCGATTTTTTCATACAAATTTTTACATGCCACTACTTTTGCAGTTCCTACATCTTCCCGCGTTGCTGTGGCATGTCTCTGAATACACAATAAGATGGACGAAGGGAATCAATCTCTCAATTTTTCTTTTTCGCTTTCATGGTGCGGCAGTGTGGATCTTTTTTTTCGGTAGCCGGTTGCTTTTCATCTTCGAATGAGACATACGTTTAATGAGGAAAGAGTGACTTGATCAAAGTCGATCAAGCGAATACGGCCGACACCACTACGAACCAAGGATGTAGCGGCGGAGCTACCGACGCCACCGAGGCCGATGATGATGACGAAGGCGTTACGGACGTGCTGATTTCCTTGGGGACCGAGGAAGGCGATATTGCGGGCCAGCTGTTCAGTGATCAGAGTTTCGTCGTGGACAGGAGCAGATGTCACGCGTTTCCTCGCAGGTTTCCGTCGATCGGAGGCTGGCTGGATAGTAGATCCTTGCAAGGTATACATCACCATCGCCGTCATCGCTCCTGAAACCACTCCCACAACTATGGCTTGAGTCATCGAAATCATGGGTGACCTGCTCGTGTTCGAAAACATGCTTGTCCAGCTCTGTGCCATTTCGAATCTCTCGCCGTATCCAAGCGTCGAACCAACTCGACCAGAGAAATTTTTCGGCGAGCCGAAGAACGTGAAACAGGCCAGTGTTAAGTTGATTGGCTGCTTTTTGAGTGTGTCAGTTTTACCGCCAGTCAAAGAGTGCCGCGCCTACAAAGGACGAATATAGTTGTTAATTGTCGCCGGTCGAATATCCCCCTCTTCGTTAGTATAGAGGTCAGTATACCCGCTTGTCACGCGGGTGACCCGGGTTCAATTCCCGGACGGAGA